CCCCAAAACCCCAAAACCCCAAAACCCCAAAACCCCAAAACCCCAATTCTTGCTTATTAAATTGTATAATTTAAAATTCAAAATGGACATAGGTGATAAATATGGGAAGAAAGGCTATCTCAATAAGAAGGTCAAGACTAATTCGAAGTATGAACACGTCCAGAGCAAGCTAAAGTCTGGAAGAACTGTGAAGGATGTAGAAGTCATTAGCGACCAGTTAGTTGTAAAGAGAAAATTCGAGAATTTCAAAAGGATCAAGAGCTCCACTTTGCAGAAATTGTTAAATGAGCAATCAGCAATGACTGCTGAGAGTATTTATGACCTTGGAGGTGATAACCCAGATGAAGAAACGAAAATTCCAGATGCAGAGAGTGTGTACTCAATAGCTACAAATGCTTCACAGATGTCGGCTGTGACTTACACAACTGAACAACTTGGTATCACTTCTGACACAAAGTTCATCTTACTCGATCTTAGAGAAGAAGATGAGCATGAGAAGTATCACATCCAAGAGAGTATCAATTTCCCTGCCCCGAACATTTCAAGGGATAAGGTTATTCCTGAACTCTACAGATTTAGAAACAAAGAGGATAAATTAATTATTGTCTATATGAGTGATGAACGCAGTGGTAGTTCTGCAGCTAAAAAATTCTACGAGAAAGGATATGATAATATCTACCTCCTCTCCGGCGGAATTGATGAGTTCATCCTCAATTTCCCTGAGCTAATAATCGGTAAGGATCTCCCAGATATTGACAAGCTCAGAGAAGAGAAGGAACTCAAAGACAAGAAAAAGAAGAGAAAGAAGATCTAAAACATATATTTTGCACCAATCCCCAAAACCCCAAAACCCCAAAACCCCAAAACCCCTCTCTGGAGCCTAATGATTGAACTTAGCTCTCTGGAGCCTAATGATTGAACCTAATAATTTAATTTTACCACAATGGATGACATCGAAAAGCTGGCAAGGGTGTATATCTCAGCCAGTAAGTGACTCCCTGGCTTACAAGAGGATATGATCACCGGGATCAAGGACTTACTGAGCCAAGAACCAAGTCAAACAAGCAGAGGGCTTTATAAGCTAAGTCTCCCAAAGACGAAGGAGCTTCGTTCGAATAAATATAATGAAAACTCTTGCTTTCAAATTTCGAACAAAGTCACTGGTAAGTTTAGGAAAATTTATACTGAAAATTTTCTGCTAGGTTTCACCAGCTATTCAAATGCTGAGGTTGTTGAAAATCTCAAAAAATAGTCAGAAGTCTGTCTCATACCATGGTTATATAGATAGTACTAACAAAGCTCTGAAGTGGGTCTTTGAAAACCTCTCTCAAAGTAATATTTCTAAACTTTTCTGCGGTAAAGACAAGAAGAGTTTGCTATCTCTCCATACAAAAGTACTGGAGAAGGTATTCAGGAGCATTTTTAGCTCGTTTGAGGTATGCTATATATCCAATCTTTAGGCACTAACTCAGGAACTGAATGAGGTCAAGAAGTCATTATCACAAAAAGAGAGTGACAAAAACGTCAATTATCTTAACTCTAGTGATGATACTTTGACTCATAAAAGCAATTTGGGAAGTAGAGGAAACTCCAAAGTGCAGCAAAACAAGAAAAGTTCCTCTGATTTTTCGAAAGATATAAGCTTCAACTCAAGCAAGAAGCAAGGAAATATTGGAGCAAAGTCACTGGAAAACACCTTGGTAAAGGACAGATCCCTCTCCGAGATTGAAAAGCATCGTCAAAAGGTATGGAATCTTCCCATGATTCATCCTGTGCATAAAATAGTATAATTTGTATAGAAAGAAGGTTTGGTGAAATCCAGTTTTAAGACGCTCAAAGTGAAGGGTTCCTTCACTGGTACTGAATTAGATACTCTATTTAAGGTTCCTACCTATAAGAGCTCCTATATTACAAAGAAGAGGAACTCTTCAGCAGGCTCGTTTTATAAGAAACAATTGGCAAAATCTTCAGTGAGTATTTCACACAATTTACAAAAGCTAAAAGAAACAGGTGAGTTTTATTTTAAGTATGCATAAATTAATTGAAATCAGAAAATAAGCTGTTTTTGATTTTAGAGCTCTCTCAGAGTGTTTTCGAGGAGTGTATAGAATTTAGAAACTGATTTTGGACCTAGGGATAGTTTATAAAGATCATTTAGGGATAAAGAGTAATAAATTGAAATATTGAAATGGAAGTTTAAAAGAAAAAAATAAGGTATGAATACTTTGCTGAGGCTATAGAGTCAATATATCAACAAAACTAAGAAACCAACATTTAATGGAGTTATCTCAGAAGATGATATTGAAGAATTTCCAGCCAAGCCTTTTTCCAAGGTGGGTGTATACTCTTTTCTGGGATTAATTATGATTTATTAATGACAAATTTAATTTTCAAGAGTATTACTGATAAAACTTGATTCTAGAAACCCCCAAGAATTCAGAAAATGAAATCCAAACTCGAGAAAAATCCCGCTCCAAAAGCTGAGACCTCGTTTGAAATTCCTCAAACTCCACATAAACCGAGGATGACAAGCTTAAACTCTCAAAAGAACTGTATCTCCAAAGCGACTAATAACCCAGCAAACCACAAGGTCTCATCAGATAATGTCTTCTCAAAGGATCTACTAGAGAATATCAAAACTAATCAAAAACAATTTGAAACAAAGTAATCAAACTTCTACTTTGATTTAAAAAATCTAAGACTACTTATTTTACTCAGAATTTGGTTCTATAACTTAATTTTTATATATGAAGATCCTTAGCACCAGCAATTTAGTATTTTCTGAAATTTTCTGAAATTAATACATTCTCCTCTTTAACTATCCCTCAAATAAAATCTAGCGGTTCAACTCATACAAGAAACCACAAACGTAGAAGCAGTACTTCTGAGTTAGAGTCATTCATCAAGAACGAACTTGAAGTGCAGAAGGAATACAACAAGAAGGGGCATTACCCTTCCATGATAAGAGAATAATCAATATCAATAATAGAATTTAATAATGGGGTTTTGGGGTTTTGGGGTTTTGGGGTTTTGGGG